ACGTGCAAAATGTGCTTATATCTGGAGAGAAAACAGAGAGAGAGAGAGAAAACAAAACTTGGATGAAAAAGACGGACCTTAGTTCGGATGAGCCCGTGTCGAAATCGTGTGTGTGCGGTGATGACGAAGAAGACCGTCAGTGAAGAAACGTTTGTCGCCGTGACTTGATGAGGCAACATTCAGGCAGTGATGACCCAGCAATGAACCAGCCTTGCTGAGCTTGTTTCAATGTGGGTAGCTCATTATCAGCCATGATCAATCCACTGCTGAATGAATGCCTCCCCAAACTGCTGCCACCCATCACGATCGTGTGATGCATCGATCCACCCAGCACCTACACACTCCATCTCCTCGGAGGAAGTCCGCTCAAACACTCCTATCCTTGGCTGCAACTCCGCTTTAATTATTGACCATCGTTCATTGCTCCTTCTAGTGACATCTACCAAAACCCACTATTCATAATACTTGGGATCACGTAATTAGCCTGCGCATGTGTGTTGTTTCGTGTCTCGCAATGTACTCTCTGTGGAGCATTGTGAGGCAGGACACACTGCTACATTCTGCACTGCTCAGTGAGTCTTACCTGGCATTCATTAAACGCATACCCAACAGCAACAAGAACAGCAGCAACTGCCACAGCAGCAGCAACAACAGCAGCAGTGACACTAGCAATAACAGCAACAAAAGCAAAAACAACAGCAGCAACACCACCTCGTGATGGCGATACTGCGACTTTTGCTTCTGCTGCTTTCGCGGGACCCCGGCTGAGCGAGCCGAGCGGCCTGGTCCAGCAATGCCTCCCCCTTCCCTGGAGAATGCGGGGTCATCCCGGGAACTTCTCTTGGCTCGGATCGACAAACTTTGCCGATACCGCGGTGGCGCTCGCCAGCAGACTCGGCCCAGCATCCAACGTGCAGAAGCGATCACTGATCGGTCAACTCTCCGGTTGAAACCACTCGAGTAATTATCGAAGACGTGGGTATTTCAGATCAGTCTCGTTACGTGCGAAATGGCATTAACGACGATTCGCTCACCCGTCACAACGATATCACACAGACTGGGAATGACTGGCCCACGATGCTTTTCGTCAGAAGATTCAATCGGTCGATTCATTTGCAGCTCATTGATAAAACGACATAACTGTTTTTAGAAAAATGTTTTAAAATTGTTTTTAAAGAGCTAAGGATACTGTAGGAATATGTTAAGGGAGGGCGAGACGGCATATTACAAACGTGCGATTGATGTAGTGAGTCAGTTCACTCTCGTGATCGGGGAACGGACGAGTAGCTGGGCTCGCCGCCCCGCCATGGCAGGGAACAAAGTATCTCAAGGGGGAGGAAAGGAAATCAGGAAAAATGACGGGGCGGAGGGAACAATGTAACCAAACAAGACCCAAAATAAAATAACACAAACGCGATGTCCAGGCTTGTCAGCTTTTTTTATGTTCCAGGAGCAACCATCCCTATGTAATGGGAAGGGGGGGGGGGGGTAGTGTCCAGAGTCTATCCCGATTCCCTTATCCCTTCTCTCCGGCCTATAATTCCATGGTTATTGATGCTGGGTTCAACAAAAACGGAGACCACATGACCTCGTATTCCCTCTCCTTCCATTTTAACTGATGTCTAAAATGTTCCATTCCTGCTAGAAAGAGGAGAGTTCTAGGGTTGAGTCCCCAAAGGGTGGGGGGGGGGGGGGTCTTGGTCTTTCCAGTTGGCCAGAATAGTTTTCCTTGCCACTATATAGAAGGTTTGGAGCAGAGCATGCCGGTACTTTGTTAATCCTTTTTGTTTTAAGCCCAATAGGGTTGAGTCCACTGAAGGGTATACCACTGCTGCTCTTGATGAACTTGTGCCCATGCAAACAAGTGCAGTGACATAGAATTGGTCGCTATGTAGCATAGCGCTGGTTGCTGGCAGATAAGGGGATCTGCAGTTGCAGCAGCCCTGACTGGCAGCAGGTCACGTGATAGAACAGAGAGAGGGATGTAGGGAAAAGGTTACAGAGCGGGAATGCTAGTAGGTTCTAGAAAGGGGACATGGCTGGGGCGGAGCGAGGCCACGCTAGGAGGATAAAAGGGGGCCCCAAGCGAGAGCTCGGGGCTGTCGCCTGGAGTGGGATCCCCTCGTCGTGCTGCTGGAGTCTTCGCCGCAGTCTCCGTCTTCACCATCTCGGCGTCGTCAGTCGGGCAGTCTGCCAGCTGTCCTGACTGGGAGCAGTAGTTACTTTGCGTGAACTGTTAAGGCTGTTAATAAATAGAGTGCCTCCTACTCTTAGTGTCTCTGAGTCAGTCACTACACAAGTACAAAGAGAATGGGGAAAGCACAGTAACTGTCACTGAAAGCGATTGCTGCGAAGCAGATGCGGAGGAGGCTGGAACGCCTTTGGAAGAAAACGGGTTTCAAGGCTGTCTAATTCGCTTATGGAGCCGACTGCAGTTCTGCTAATCGACCCATTATTGAGTCTCGCAGATCGTCCTAAGCGTGTCAACAAGTCGGCTCGCGACCTCTGTAATTTGTGGCACGTCATGAAGGGTCTGCTGCACTGCAACCACCCATCACCAAGTCAACCCGGGTCTGTGCACAGTACTTGTGACGTTCTTTGCCAATAAAATAGTGACGATCAAGAGGGCAGTTTCTAACTTGATGGCAACACCGTCAGTGGCAGAGGTGTCGATATTCAGCATAAGACTGCCAAATAATACATTGCTACTTGACTACAGCCACATGTCAATTCTCAAATTATGCTCAGACATGCTTGTGCTGCTGATTGCCCACCTGGCAAATCTTCGTTCAGCGAGGACTGTTTCCCAGAAACAAGTTGGTTTGAGCCAGTGACCTCACAAACTGTCATCCGATCTCAAACCTGTTTTAGTCGGCGTACTGGAAGTTCCACAGCACTGAGATGGCTCTACTAAAGATCATTGATGACCTCTAAAAGATCATGACCAGTGCGCCGTAGCATTGGTTGGCCTCGATCTCTCAGCTGCCTTCAACTCCATTAACCACGAGATACACATCGTGTGGAAAAGGTCAGGGTTCGGTGTATAGGGTACAGCACTGGGGTCGATTGAGTCATACCTGTATGGTCGACCAGTTCGCTAAGCTGGGTGACGAAGTCATCGCCGATGCCATTCCTAGTTGGCATACCACAAGGGTCCATCCTCAGACCTTTCCTATTTTTTCGACATGTCTTTCCAATCACTGATATCTCATCTTTTGACATCAAGTTCCACTAATACACAATTGTAAACAGCAGTGAAGTCTTAGTTAGATATGGAGAGCCTCAGTAATCTCAAAGATTGATTTTCACACAACAATGCTGCTTAATCCAAAAAAATCGCAAGTTCTGCCGGTTGGCAAAATAAATTGCAGGAGGATCAGGTGTGGCAGTTGGAGACTCCAGGATTCAGTTATCTACTTATCTACAGAGCCTCAGCACCATACTCGACTGGCATATGTTGTTTGATTACTGATGTGAAAAATATAGTCAGGTCCTGCAATTTTCATATCAGGGCTCTAAGGCACATTCGACCACTATTGGATTGTGACAAAGCCAACACGGTGGCATGTAGCAAAGTGTTCAAAAAGGCTAGATTATTGAAACTCAATATTCTATGGGACATCTAGCCTAAAACATGACCAAGCTTGCAGCGTGTACAAAACTCTTTTGAACATGTCGTGATGGGTACTGCAAGATCTGATCATGTCTGGCCAGTGCTCGACGAGCTGCATCGGCTTCCTGTTGCCGAACAAATACATTATGAGGTTGCACTCATTACACACAGTTTTTGCTACAAATGAACCACCATACCTTGCTGATCTTATCAAGGAGCATACTGTAAACGATCACGTGAACTCCGGTCATCCTCACAGTGGCTTTTGGCTATCCATTGAACAAAAGAGAGTTACGATATCGCACACTTTCAGATTCGCTTCCTCAACTGTGTGGAATGCTCTTCCCTCTGATATTAGGAAGTCCCTGGAGCTTTGCACTTTCAAATCTAGATTGAAAACTAATTTCTTTAGAACTGCTTTTTATGTTTCATTCGTTGTCCTTCCCTTGCACCTCCTTTGGCTATGTACAGTGCAAAAGACGTTCAACATACCGATTACATTTAAATTGCTAAGGAGAGTAAGTGCAGGGCTTGAGCAAGGACACGTTATGGCTAGAAGGGATGACTATGGACAATGGGTCAAGGCTGGCAGCAGAGCAGCAGCCAAAGGAGGGAACCGTGCTCGAGAGGAAGGCCGCCATGTAGACGGAGCGACGCGACCGGCTCGTACGACGATGGCGTTTGTCTCATCACTAGACCGTGAGAGATGGTGACAGCTCAAGTGAGGCGTTCATCCATGCACCATCACAATTCATTATTTGCACAAATTGCAAGAGCGTGTTTGCTGGCTGTGATAAAGCATTCGAATTTTCAAGGACATGTGTTTTGATTCTAAATAACCAGACGTGGTGGTTCATGCCTGTAATGGTTCACGCAGAGATCATCGTGTGCTAGAAGATGGCTGCACATCTCATGAGCCTCAAGACTCATTCTCAAGGGGATGCTACAATGGGTTGTTTGGCCAGTACGATTCATGAATCTTTTTGGAATGGGTGAAACTGGGGTACCCTGACAAATCCGACTACGCACGCACAGGACTAAGAATCAACATTGCCATCTATTCGCCACACCTTGCAGCTCCACACCTAAACTGCCTGGCAAGCCCTGGCGGTCACCTGTCCGAGCATTTACTAGGCTCACCCCGCTTATCTTACAAGACCTCACTCAAGTGACTACATTCTAAGTGACTTGATCTTTGGGATCCCAGTTCCTTGAGTTAAAAACAAGTGATGACTGCTGCGCGCTAGACAGCTTTGTGTGGTGAACGTTTACAGTGGAGTGGGAAAGGGTTCATCCAAAATGGCTAGACCACGGCTGCTGCTGATTGACGTTGCTGCTGATGACTTTTGTGTGCGTGCCACGTTCTGTGCCCTGAACAGAGGGGACGATAACCATGGAGGCGTCTTTGAGCATCCACGCTTCTTCAAAATTGCCCGGCTCGGACGCCACCTGGCTGTGTAGCCACAAGAGACACACCCCGAGGGCCCAGCATCGGCCTGAGAAGCCACCCATCTCTTACATCGCCCTCATCGTCACAGCAAGATCTAACAGTTCCTACAGGGTCACTTTCCGTTATTCCGTCAACGCCTACCAGGGCTGGAAGAACTCCGTGCGAGAGAACCTCTCGCTCAACGAGCGATTCGTGAAGCTGCCCAAGGGCCTGAGTCGGCCCGGTAAGGGCCAATACTGGACCATCGACCCGGCCAGCGAGTTCATGTTCGAGGAGGGTTCGTTTTGATGGAGGCCGCGGGTGTTCAGGCTCAAATGAATGCCAAGGAGCCGGCGTGTGCCATGGCGCTCACCCTCAGTGCTCACCACGAATGGTTCCAATTGCTCCCTTGTGAGCCTAAATCCTCTTCAGGGTTTCTTCCACCTCAGACTGGGAGACAAAGGCGATTCATCGTGACACATCTGTGCCTAATAGCACCTGAACAGGATGCGAATATCACCACAATTGATTCACCTCAGTTTTATAGTTCATGTAGTACATACAGTATGACTAACCAAGGTGATATTAATAAAGCGAGTCACCAAACTCATCATACCTACTAAACATAATTCAGTGTACAAACTCCCTTCTGGTGACAAAATGCAGTTATGCACTTAATGTGATGGTGTCAGACTTAAAAGGTAATGGCTATTTCATTTTAAACACGTTTGTACATTTTTCTCAAAATACGTACATGTACAGAGTGGTCCAGATGTTTTATGACCCCCATTTAATGATATAAAATTTAATGTTTGTATACCAACGGGCGTTTAAATTACATAACTTTATAAAATATTATTATTGTAAATATCAATGTGTATGAGAACCAGCATGTTCTTTGCACAGGATGATTTGGCACTATGTCCTATGAGAAATTTTACGCCACACTGCCACTTGAGCGAATGTATTCTTCACAGCCTCTTTCAACTCTTCTGTGCTCCTGTATCTTTCTTTTGAGATAATCCCCATCGTGAGTTATCACGTCAAGAGAGATCAGGACTCCCCGGGGGCAAATTTAGCGGTGCTGTAAAATTTGCTGAGCCTCTGCTTATCCATTTATCCCAAAAAAAATTGGGGGGAATTTTCGAACAGAGATTGCAGAGTGGGCAGGTCCTGCTGAAACGAAACATGACAAAGGAGATTAGAGATTTCACGCTGCGGAACAAACCCATCCGTCAACATGGTCAGATGAGAATGTTGGTGAACAGATGCATCAAAAGAATAAGGACCAATCAAATGTTTGTTATTGCCGCCCATATCATAACATGTGGCGGATTATGTTCAAACGCTTCACAACAACGTCGATTAGCCTTACTTTAGAAATAAACGTTTCTATCAAATGCACTGCGATAGATTCCACATTCGTCTGAAAACAAAACCTTACCACGTTGTGGGAGCGTCTCAAAAACTTCAAGAAACGGGCCACATGCTTCACTTCTGTTTTTGTAATTCAGCATCACTTAGCTCGTTGACAAACATAGGCTTGAAAGATGTCAATTTAAGATCATCTTTCATGTGCCTTAACGTTGTGGTTTTTGGAACACCAAGTTCAGATCTTTTTCGTAGTGACTTTTTTGGGTGAGCTCTGAACTGATTCGGCAACTGCTGCGCATTGATTGCTCCTCGCTGAGAATGTCTCCCAGTCCTTTATCCAAAAGTGATCCTGTGGAAAAGAGATTATCTTCCCATCTCAATATTGTACATTTTGGTGGAGCTTCTTTGTTAAATCTTTCTCAAAATCCTTTCGAATATCTTTTCTGGTTCGTGATCTTTCATGAGCCCATACGCTCCCTACGAGCCATTCTTCAATATCATATGAACTCGTATCAGCTATCTGAAATAAATAAGGTTTATTTAAAACAGAAATTAATATGCAAAGAAAAAATAGTTCGGGGTCAATGAATTAATTACGGGTTACAAGACATCTGGACCACCCTGTACAATGCTTTGGCAATCGACGGCTGGATGAGTGCCTGCCCATGCTGTTGCAGGTCGTGGGTATATTTAGACCATACCACGCTGGTCAGCGCGGGTTGAAGGCCAGGAACTAGACTTGGTAGCATAAAAGTACTACTATACAGTGCAATACAGTAATGGATTTTGCTGCACTGCCTTTTGATGTCCAAGTAGCAGAGATACTAACCCTAGCTACTGGCTACTAGCTCTGAGTAATCATGTAGCTGAGCAATTAATGTAGCTGTTCACAGGAGTATAACTAACACACTCAAAGGACTATGACCCTTTCGTAATACAAATTAATTGAATTCGTTTGCCTTCAAATACAAAACGTAGTTTTTTACACGCTTTCTATTAACTCACTCAGTCTGTTATTGTTGTTGTTGTTGTATCCTCAAATCTTGTAACTCAAATTTAACCCACTTCCCAATGTGGTATCGACTGCAAACTTGGTATACTTATGTCATACTGATGACAACACTATATTCTACCTTTAAAACAAAACATTTTAAACAATCTTTTTTTATATGTTATGTTTCGGCTTGGGTCTAATTGTCCACGCTCAACTGACGTTGGCTGTAAATCACCACGGCCCCCTTACGTTGTGGCAAGCTTCGGGGTCACTTCCTGGAGTCGTGGAGTTCTGCCATTACTAGTACGGTACATTTCATTCAAGAGTGTTTTGAAAAATGTTTTTAAAAATATTACTTATTATGCTAGCGGCCACTGGCACAAATGAAACCTACGTAACCTTAGTAACTTAAGTTTAACCCTAACAATAATATATTGATAGAAAGAATCATTATGGTTCCTAATTAACGGTTAGTAGGTGATACACCATTGACTGGGCGAGTGTAGCGGAGTAGCACCGTGGTGAGTGCACTGCCGCGCGGTAAACAGGGCGAGTGGCGAGTCCTGGAACCTTCCCCTGACCCCCCCCCCCCCCAAGGTCAACTCACAGTGACCAGCACAGTGAAGTATGGTCAAATAGCCCACACAAGGGGCCGAGGCCTTCATCTGGCGGTGGATTAGCATATTGTTGAACACATACCAAGCGTCATTGCACGCACATGTATTGTGATCCATAATAGAAGGGGGGGGGGGGTTTGGGTTAGATCGCGTAGATGTGTCGTTAAACCCGCCACCACCCGACACAGCCAACTAGTAAGGGTTGTCACGTAAACAGAACATGTCAATTCGTCACTAGTACAGCACACCGGTGTGTTGGAGAGCCAAGCCACAACGTTTACAATCCGAATATGACGTTTCGCCAGTAATTACAACTAGCTTCATCAGGCGACAGCCAGATTTGTGGAGAAGTCTGTTTCGTTCCTTATATAGAGGCGTAGATGTGGTGACCACATTTTTGTGATGCCTTCTGTACTCCGCGCTTCTTAACACGTGAGTTTAAAGGTTCAAGTGGTTTCCCCTTTTAGGGAAGTGGTTTCCCCTTTTATGGAAAACCACTTGAACATTTCAGCATTTGGGACGAGTTTATAATTATACATTTTTCTTGTTATCGTGACCTCATTAACTTTTATGAACGTGTAGTTGAACTGCAACTAAATTTCACTTAATAAGACATTGACTTTACACCACGACCACTGTTAAGCACCTCACAGAACATGCGAATCTTGTATTATCGATTTAAATCGCAATTATTTTTTTAGTTAAATGACCGTTCAACATGGGAGCCTATTGTAAGGGATAGCGAGGCATCAACGCAACTGTGTGAAACAGCCTCTACTGTACATTCAAAGCGAGGCGACTCATAAGCCAACCGTGTAGCCAGGACAACATTATAAACACACTTTTAAAACTAAATCGTGATTAAAACAACCGACGACTGAAACAACCCACATCGCTAAACGTCGGTGGGGACAGTGGATTGCATTACCCACAATGCACGCGCAACCCCAACGAGACCGAGGCCCCTCATTGGTCGGCTCGCCGTGTTAAAACCGCGTTAGCGCGTGCGCGATTGGCTGAGGGCGACGCGTTGGGCCCCGTCGGATTGGCTGCTGCGGTCGGCGTGCGATGCCGATGCGTTGTACGGTTTTGGAGCGCGATGCCGATGCGTTGTACGGTTTTGGAGCGCGGTGCCAGATAGGTCAAAGTTGCGCTGTGGTGCCACAACAGCGAAGCCGCTCCGTCGAAACCGGAGCCGTCGCTCTGCTGCTGCGACCGAGAAGCCACCCGGCTCCCGTCACAGCACTTCCCCCGCCCCCCCCCCCCCACATAAACACACACACACTCAAGTAGGGCCTCATGGGGAGGGGGGGGGGGCACCTGCCCTGAGTTTTTACCCGAGAGGCCCCCTCGTGGGGGTGCTCCACGGTTTCTCAGGGTCAGGGAATTGGCAGCCCCCCCCCCCCCCCAGGCCAAATGGCACTGCGGCGCCGTGGCTTAACTTAGAATTAAATGACCACGGCGAACTCACTGAGAACCGCAGTGAGGAGATGCCCAAGACACACACGGACCAGCAGACAGGTGGGGAGCGGGGCAGCGCGGGTTAAGTGTCTCTACCCATGGTGCACCGCGGGTTAGCGTCTCTACCCATGGTGCACCGCGGGTTAGCGTCTCTACCCATGATGCACCGCGGGTTAGCGTCTCTACCCATGAGGCACCGCGGATTAACGGCCCGACCCGTGATGCACCGCGGATGGGCGGTGCGAGGGCTTTGAAAGGAGGATAAAAGGGGACGCTTTGGGGAAGCAAGGGGCCATTTTTTTTATTTGACTGGAGATCAACAGGAGGGAGGGATCGGGGAGCCGTCACCTGACTGTTACTCGCACGTCCGTGAGACGGGGCAGAGAACAGCCAGATTCTGTTTACAGCATCATCTATCCGCGACCTCCATCGCTGCGAGGTCGGACCGTAAGTACGAGGGAGAGAGGTAAGACAAAGGGACGAAATTCGGAGAGAAAATAGAGGGCAGACAGGTCGATTAAGTATCAGGCAGTAGCGAGATAGGTTAGACCTGTCCTGCTGGTCCATACTGACACACACAGTCAAGTTCGTTTATTCGTGGGGAATAAACCGTCCGTAGTGTATAAACCGTGTCGTGTTGTCTCTGTGAGTACGGAGGGGCGGTGCGTGGTGTGGCGAGCCTGCCCGCGGTGAATCTTTTGTTTGCGCGTGAGTGAGTAATTTTACCTACGTGTTTACGTTGGGTCCACTCGGGGCTTGACGCGCATGCCGGGGCAGTAGTAACGTGCTATCACCCTGGAATTAAAGTACGGGTCCTTCGATCATTAAATGCACTAGTGCGTGGTGTGTTGAGCCTCTGCATC